TTTGAAATTTCGATGTCTACTTCATTTGCTTCTTCTTCGTGTACTGTTTCCTCCTCGTCATGCATTTCTTCTTCTGTTGTTTCCTCCGTCAAGAGCTCTCTGTAGTAATCTCTCCATACTTGCTTGTATTCTTGGTCCTCTATTATCACTATTCCCTCTCTATTTTTTATTCCGTTTGTTTTGCCCTTGTATTTTTTGTTTTGTTCTTTAATCTTTTTGTAAAAACTTTTCGTATTTCTGTTTGTTCTTTCCTGCTCTATTTCCTGCATTTTTTTGTCTACCCATCTTCTTTTATTTTGCCTTATCACTTTCTTAGCATCCCTTCTTAATTTTTCATATTCTTCTCTGTCTTCCTCTTTATCTGTTCTTAGCCATTTATTTCTGGCTTGCACTTTTTTTCCTGTTATTTCTCTACATTCTTGGTTATACCATTCGTTTTTTGTTTTAGCCTGACTTTTACCTATCTGCATATTTGCACCTTCTTCTATTGATTTTTTGATCGTCTCCCATTCTGTGCTTATATCTTCTGCTTTATATTTCTCTTTTATTTGAACTGTTACTGCCTCTTCATATTTTTTTCTTACTTCTTCATTACTCAATTTATTGACATTCCACTTTTTATGTTGGTTTTTTTGTTTTGTTTCAATTTTAACTTTTTGTTTTATAATGGCTGTGACCATGTAGTGGTCTGAATCTGCACACGCACCTCTGAACGTTCTTACATCTTTTATTGACGATTGTTTTCGCTTATTAATCATTATGTGATCAATTTGACTATATGTTTTCTGATCCGGTGACCTCCATGTTACCTTATGTATTTTAGGGTGTTCAAATTTTGTCGAGCTTATTAACAAATTTGCTCTTGTTGCTAGGTTACATAGTCTTTGCCCATTGTCATTCGTGTTTTCGTGTATTGTATGCTTTCCTGCAATTTGCTGTAAAAAGTCCTCTTTTCCAATCTGGGCGTTGAGGTCTCCCAGTACAAATATGACATCTTCTTTGGGTATTTTTTCTATCTCCTCTTCGACCTTATCATAAAAGATTTCTTTTTCGTCTGCATTGCTTGTTTCTGTGGGGGCGTATAAATTCAAGACTGATATATTAAATGGTTTGCTGTTGACTCTAACATAGGCCATCCTTTCGCATATTGGCTTGAAATTTATAATTTTCTCTCTTAGGTGACTAAGTATCATGAATCCCACGCCTTTTTGCCCTTGCTTCTTTCCTCCTGAATATAACATTGTAAAGTCTTGTTTATCAATCTGTCCCTGTCCCTCCCAGCGTAATTCTTGCAGTGCTGCAATATCTATTTTATACTTTTTGAGTTCCTTTCCTATTTCTAGCATTTTTCCTGGAGTTAGCATAGTTCTTATGTTCCATGTGCTTATTTTCAACTCTTTATTTTTTTTGTTCTGTTGTCTTCGTCCTTTATTTTTGTTTTCTTGTCCATTTTTCTTTATTTCACTTTTGTTGTGCCCGGGTTTATCTGCAGTTATTTCCTGTTTCTTTGCCTCGTCCGTCAACGAATAATGTATCCTCTCATCCCTTGCTAGTTTTTTGAACCACCTCCATGATGGTCCTCCAGCTGGTTGGTGTTTCTATTCCATCTCCTTTCTAGACCATCTATTATAAGTTTGTTGGCTTTAATTTGGACACGTTTACCTTTCTTTATTTCATCTTTTGCTATTCTTCGTATTTCCTTCTGTATTTGTAATTCCTCTGTCGTTAGATCATTGTTTATATATATTTTTTCTTTTTTCACTTCTTTAAGTTTACTTTTGTTTTCCATAATTTTTGTTTTTTCTTCTTTGTTTGGCAATCTGACTAAACATGTTTTATCTCCTAGTTTCACTGCTTCATCTATATTTACGGTAATATTTAGCTCTTTTGTCATAAAATTTTCTATCACTTCTTTTAGTATTCTTCTATCTCCAGTTTCTATTGTCATTCCCTGTATTATCACATTATTTTCTTTTCTTATTCTATCCAGCCTTTCAAGGCGTCCTTTTGTCTCATTCAGATCCTTTTTGATTTGTTCATTTTCTTTCCAGATTTCACTATTCTCTTGTTTTAGTTCTGCTAGTTCAGTTTTGAGTTCCCTCATTTCTTCTCTGTATTGTTTTTGTTCCGTTTTTACTTCTTTTATATCAGTTTTTAATTCTTGTAACTCTATTGTTAAATTTTTTATCATATTTAGTATTTGATCTATTTTGTTTTCATTTTTGTGACTTTTAATTGGGCTTCTTTGTACTTTTTTACTGGGACCAAATAACAGTTCCTCTTCTTCTCTATTTCTTTTCCGATTGTCATCGGATGTATTATCATCTGAATCCATATTTCTGCTGCTACTACTCGCGATAGAGCCAACCTCCCCACTCAACGCGTCGAAGGAAGATAGTTCTCTCAAGTAGTAGCTTGTAGTAATTTATTTTCTCGTTTTCTTCCTGGATAAATTAATTTTCAATTAAAATAATTGTCAGTTACTTTGGAACGGTTTGATGTGGCAACGCCCACCTCTAGCTTTTAAAACTGATACTATAGTGTTAATTACCTGGGCCGGTTTTGTTTTTAGTTTTTTGTGTTGAGAGTAAATAAAATTTCCTTCGCCTTCCTAAATTTATCGAGGTTATGCACTTACCTCTCTTCCAATGTCTTTGCTATAATTTACCCTTAACACTTTTATTCTTGTATTACACACTGCACGCAAAATCAGCAAAATTATCGACTCACAATAACCAAAAATTTAAATTATTATGGAGCAGAATTTACACACATCTATTCCTTACACTAGAGATGTTATTATCTGATAGAATTACTATATCGTCTGCATATCTAATCACATTAAGTAGTTCCCCGTTGATTTTTATTCCATATGGTTGTCCCTCAAGTGCCTTTTTAAATAGCTGGTCCGAGTAAACATTGAACAATGTTGGCGACAAAATGCAACCTTGTCTGACTCCTTGACAAGGAGTCCCACTTGAAACTACACGTTTGAATTACAATATTGGATGAATTGGATCAACATGACAGAAACTTTCTAACTGTTGTGCTTGAGAGGTAAAATATAATATGACCGCTTACAAAAAAGATCCTACACATATTAAAGCCTACTGATCATTAGAAATGCCGATTGTAATTTAATTATGTTTGATAAACAGTTTAGAAATAGTTGAAAATCGTACATAAACAAATTAAAATGGTTCCCACAATTATTTTATTTTTAGTACAAGTATTTTCATTTGAAAATAAAAAGTTAAATATATTTACCAAAACCCTAACTTTAACTAGTAATCGCAGACGTCTTAAAAACGGTACTTTAAATATAAATTATTCTTAGCACGGTAGTATTTGTTTCGGAAAAAATATTAAACAAATAGGTGAAAGAAATTTACGTTAAATAACATTATGCAAGAAAACTATTTATTAAAAAAAATGTAACTAAATATGCAAAATTATGAACAACAGGTTAATGACGCATGTATTTATTTTATACCTAAAATTTGGCAGTGTTAAACATTATGGAGATGGAGAACACCAGTCCAGTTTACCGTGCCTTTTACACGACGAAGGGTTTTCTGTGAATTCCGTTAATCGTGTAGAGGTGTAGAGGTCGTTGAATGTATTGTACAAACGCTTTTACTTTATGCACTTATTTCAAAAATAAATACACGATTTAAAATCCATGCAGCATTTACGGTTCTCCAGAATTATCCAATCCACACCCTGCTCTACAGATGGAATAGAGCATACTTTTATTAAAGCATGAAGTACCTAGTTAAATACTACGCTTACATGAAATTACTTTTGTAAAAATAAAACACTGAAACCTGTGTTTTCAAACTTCCACAAAATTTAATTTAAATCTTATCCACTACAGCTGTTTCGGCTGATTGCCTTTCTCAAGTGATCTATTTTTGTCTTGGGCTTTACAAATTTATAGTCTCTAATGAAATAGGTTGAGGAGGGGAGAAGTGTTTGTCTCAAGTTGGTCATTCAGAATTATATCTGTGTTTTTTAATTTGTTGATTTCCATAGATTCTAACAAAGATAGCTTAAGGCCTTTATTTTGAATGTGAAGAATTTAAAATTTGTCATTAAAAGAATGATTATGATCTAGAACGTAAAGTGCGTATGTCGAATCTGTTTTTCTATTCTTGAAAGCCCTTTTATGTTCTGCTATTTGTTTATCAAAGTTTCTACCGGTTTGACCAATGTAATTTTTTGGCAGTCGCTACATTGAAGTTTGTACACACCACTATTTAAGTGTTTTTTATTTTTTCTCTTGTTATTTTTAATATATTTGCCTAGGTTGTTATTTGTTCGGAAAGCTGGTGTTATTCCTTTCTTTTTTATGTGTTTGGCAATTTTTGTTGTTATTTTGCCTGTATATGTAATCGAGCAGAAGGTACTGGTTTTTTTCTCTGGTGGTGGAAATACTAATTTCAGGGCTTTTTTGTGTAGTTTTGATTTAACATTTTATTAATTGTTTGTTAGTTTGTATCGTTGTTTACTGCTATTTGCTTAATTATATTTAATTCTGTCTCAAAGTTGTATTGTGACATCGGAATTTCTATTAATCTATGTAACATACTATGATAAGCTGCCAGTTTATGCTGGCAGTTAAGCTGCCAGTTGGATGGGATGACGAATTGTGTATAGTCGTGTCAGTATGGGTAGGTTTATGAAATATGGAGAAGTCATGTTTGTTTTGAAGTCTGCTAATTTTTAAATCTAAAAACATTTATGGATTGATTTTGTTCTGTTTCTATTGTAAATTCAATATGACTATGAAGTCAATTAATATACGATAAAAATTGGTCGAGTTGCCTGTTAGTTCCTGTGAAACTACTTTTACTGTTCTTGTTCTGTATGCAGCAAATACAGCTGTTTTATTTTCTAATTCTCATATAAATTCGTAATTTAGTAAAAAATAACTACAATATGTGTACCTGTATCATAAAAATTTGTATTTATTATTTGTATTGTATATATTTTTTTAGACACCTGGCGCTGTACAAAAACCCTTTGAACCGATCAAAAAGTATCCAAGCAGTATTGCGGAAAATATAAATAACAATACACTTGATAGAGATAGCCAGAATAAAAGAGGGAATTTCTTGGGAAATCTTGGTAAACTTTTGGCAGAAAAATGGACTCCTCCAAAAACCGAAAATACTATCAGTTACAACTACGAGAATCATATGCTGAAAAGTGAGACTACACCTACATCAAAATCTACATTTTCGTTTAAAGATCGCCCATTACCAGAAATTCCAAAAGAGTATCAACCAGCATACAGAAAAAATTCATTTAAAGATACAGAAACTGTGTCAAGTAATCCGAGTACATTTTCGCGCAATAATAGAGAAAAGGGAAAGGGATACAATCAACCTCAAACAGTCAAACATTTTCAACAAAGAATAAATCCTGAAGCCGAACATGCAGATAACGAACACGAAGATGAGGAGCAAGTTTATGAAAATGTCAACGAACAAAATAATTCTAACACACCAGGTAAATTTTTTGTCCGTAGCTATTAATTTTAGACGTTTTCTGTCAATTTGTTTAAGATATGCTTTACCAAATTCTACGTTTTTAAAATTCTCATTCTGGTCTGAGATCTATTTGTAAGAAAAGTATATTTTTTGCGCAAAAGGAAGAAAATTTGTTGTGAGGTCTTTAACATTTTTCCGCGATTGATGACTTCACACATACGGCTTAATGATAAAATATGTTTTCGATAAATATCTGCTTATAAGTATATGCTTTTACGGTGGGTATACCGTTAAATTTTTACTGAGTTACATTTTTTACTCTAGAGTAAAACTATAACGTTAAATTTTTACTCTATAGTAGAAGCCACAGTTAGAATGCACTGCAGGTAATATAGGCAATGTATTTCGAACTAAACAATACCATGAAGAAAAATACTATAACAAAGTCAAATATATCAAAAACTCATGGTCGATAGCTTATCTATATTTATCAATTTTCAATAGCTTTCATTGTAAACACATTATTTGGGAAATAAAGATTATTATAAAGTCATTAGGAGAAGTGAATCAGTTTTAATCTCCATTGTCTAGGCAATGCAAAACATATCTGTAGATTTGGGTAACTGGCATTTAAACCAAAAACTTGTTGGCAAAAAACTATGAAAGCTCAGTTCTATTTCATTTTCACAAGCGGATGAAAACACCTACATCAGGGATCATCAATTACATTCCCTGAGGGTCCGTGTCGAAACCTACTACACTTCCGCGGTCCGGACACTCAGCACTAAACCGGACCGTAGCGTAAATGGGGGTGGGGTTACCCAGAAACTCTCCAGTAGTTGTAACCTCCCCTCAGGAGAGCATCCTGGTTGCGTAATTGAAACTAGGCAACTAGGCCACCTCGTTTAGGCGAGGTATGAAATAAACTCAAGGAAAAAGATGATTATAAAGCTATTATATTTGTTTTTTTCTCCCGTCTTTGTTTAATAAATTTTTCCGGCGTAATGTGTCTGCTGCTTCGCTGGTCCATACACCATTAGGCTTGAGTGAAAAACTCTTACTTAACAGTTGCACAACATTTTCAATTTTGTGGAAATCAGCAACTCGTTTTTTAAATTCCAAATCAAGTCATTAGAAGAAGCGAATCAGTTTTAATCCCCATTGTCCATGGAAAGCAAACATGTCTCTTCTTTGATTAGGGTACTGACTATTAGGCCAAAAACTTGTTGGCAATAACTGTGAAAGCTCAGTTCCATATCATTTTCGCAAGCGGTTGAAAGTACCTACATCATGGAGCCATTACCAGTATCTGTCGTGGATTTCAAACAGGGTATGACTCTTAGTGTGCAAGTAAAACGTGTGGTGTTAAATGTATTGAACTATCATCTGAACTTTAAAAATGGTGACAGCTTGACTATTACTATGGAAAAAGTTTCGAAAACGTGCGTGAGTGTTCGCAAAATTTATGACATCAGCGAAAAGACCTAGCAAGGCGAACTGAAACTGGTACAAAAAAGGAAGAAAAAACAGTTTTCAGTCCAGTTTCTAGTCCAATTCACGTAAGAATACTTACGATGAGGAAGGACCTACGAAGGATGATGAGGACCTACCAGATTTTTCAAAAACCACATTTCGTAGGCTACTAAACGACATGGGTTTTGAATATGGTAAAAAAGGTCGAAATTCGATAATGTGTAGACCTTGTTTATACCGATGAGTCTTAAGCTCGGTACACATATTCGAGCCAAACAGTATGCATACGGTATGCGAACGCTATATTCGTTAATTTGTACGGCAGAAAAAAACCGCTTGCGTACTGTATGCGTACTGTTTCATCGTGACTCGTCGCAAACCAAATTGTTGCGGTTTATTCCACGACTTCAAAAGAAACTCGTCTTTCAGTTTGGACGGCGCTACTAGACGCAGCGAACATTTTTATTGTCTCATCAAATCGGCATTGTGTAAATGACGTGTTCCTTCCTAGAGAGACGTGAGAAAACAGTAAACTGATTATTGTTCATATTTTTATTTTTGTAAGAAACAGAAACACGATAAATCAGTACCCAAATTATAAATGAAATGAATCATTTCGCACATGTGTGTTCGTTGTTGGTTTTATCGCTTTCCATGGATCGAGATAACTATGCGATCAGTACGATGTAGATATATTTTCAAGGATCTGTACGCGTACGGTACGTATACCGTTTGGCTCGCATATCTGTACGCACCTTTAGACTAACGTAGGTGCTTCGGTCAAAAAGGAATGGAGGGACACAATCCTTCATCATGCTGGAAGCGAAACTGGTTTTGCAGCATGAGCCAAATTAACTTGCTTGGCCAAGAAGGGAACCGCTAATTAACATGACGAAATTGACAGAGATCTATATGAAGAATGGTTTGAGAAGAGCAAATTCCAAACTTAGCGAAAGACAAAGAAAACATTGTCGTTTTGAAAAACGCGTCATACCACTCTGGCAAATTCGATTTCCCGAAAAAATTGTAGAGCAAAAGGCAAATCAAGGATTGATATAAGGTTGAATTGTTGAACGCTCGAATAAATGAACTTTGAATCAAATGAAAAGGCAGATATCGAGCACAGTTTATTAATTAAATCTTGCCCAAGTACTTTCGCTTCCTATAGCATCTTCAGGGGCATTAGACAGGAACCGTTACCGTTCAAAATTCCCAAAAAGTGTTTGCAGAAAGACGTATACGACAGGTTAGTAAGACTACAAGTTGCGAACGTAACAAAATGCTGTATTGTTGGAGCATCTGGAGCAGCTATTCCTCCTACTCTGGTATTCCCTAGATTACACTTTAAAGATTTTATGATAAACGGGTCGCCCCCTGGAACTTTGTGTGTATAAGTGTTTTGTGCAAGTTGGTAAGCATTTTATTAAGCACACTGGTAGTACCAGAGATAACCCTTCTTTATTGCTAATGGATAATCATCAGTCATTTATCGATTGAGGCAATTGATTTATGTAAAAATAATGGCATTACAATCCTAACTATACCGCCACACTGTACGAACAGATTACAGTCTTTGGACGTAGCTAATTAAAACCATTTCAAACTTTCTATAATGCTGCAGTAGATGCATGGATGTCTCTCGGTCAGACATTTACAATTTATAACATAACAGCCTGTCACAGCATATCCACGAGCAATGAAGCAAGTTAACATTACATGCGCTTTAGTGATACCACAAAAACCTTTGTTAGCCCAACAGTTTTTAAGGGTTGTCCTAAAGCTCCGACAAGAAAATCTGGGGAGGACAACAAAAACGCAAAGGAAAGATGATAATAGCTGCTGATACCCCGGAAAAAATGAAACTGATTAAATCTAAAGACAAAACACCAAAACAGAAAAAGTAACTAGGCGCGTGTTAGATTGTGATTCTGATGAGCAAGTTGAACATGAGATGGAATTAGAAGATTCCAGCGGAGGAAAGGAATGTATTGGTGAAGATCCCGAACCAATTAGTTTCGAAGATCTTGATCGCTATTCCATTAATACGAATTATGTGCTTGTTGAATTTAACTCTAAGCAAAAGACATACTATGTAGGCAAAGTCTTGTCTCAAATAAAAGAAAATGATTTGGAAATATAGTTTTTAAGAAAAAGCGCTAAATGTGAAAACAGGTTTTTTTAGTTGTTCCAGATGTCTCACATGTATTAAAAAGAGACATTAAAATGATTTTGCCGACCCCTGTAATTCAAAGGTTAATTAAGCGCCAAAGTTCACTTTTAAAATTTGAATTAAATTTTGACAGTCTTAACATAAAATAAGGTTAATTGTTGCATCTCAGTGTTCCCACATTGAAAGGGACAGTGTAGACATTTAGTAAATTTTCTTCTTCTTCTGGTTTCCTATCCGTTTCGGAATGTTGGAAATCATATTGGCAATCAACAACCTTGCTCGCTGGGGTTCGAAACAGCTCCGTTGAGGTTTTCTTAAACCATGTTCTTAAATTCCGCAGCCATAGATATTCTCCTTCTACCGGGTCCTCGACCTTACCTTTGACTTTACCCTTGCAATATAGACTGTAGCAGGAGAGTAACGGTGCTGATTTCTCATAACGTGTCCCAGATATTGCAATTTTTATGCGTTATGATCGTAAACACAATCTCTGGTTCCTTCTTTATTTTTCCTAGAACTTCCTTGTTCGTGATCCTTGCTGTCCATGATATTCTCAGCATCCTTCTATAAAGCACATCTCAAATGCTTCAAGTTTTTTAATAGTGGTGTCCTCTAAGCGTCCATGCCTCCGCCCCGTACAACAAACACAGAGAAAACATAGCATCTCAATTGTCTCATTTTTTGTATCAAGGGATATGTTGTGGACTTTTGAAGATGGCGCTCATTTTGTTAAAGAACGTTCTTGCCTTTCCTATGCGGCACTTTTATTTCCTGTAAATTGCTTACACTGTGTCGTTAATAATAGTTCCCAGGTAACAATACTGTTTTACTCGCTCTATCTGCGTCCCATTAATGTATAGATGAACCCCGTTTATATTGTCCTTGCTTTAATTCTCCTAGTAATTTTTAGATTTAATATTTTTGAGGTGTTAACTTTAGTTTTTATCAAAAACGACAATATTTTTCAGTTCTTCTTCTTTGTTCAGATATCAAATATAGAGGTACATAGGCCGTGCAAAAAACTGACTTGCATAGCATGCGACTTGCATAACCTAGTTGTAAAGCCTAGATCTTAACGCTTGGTAATTAAGAGTATTTTATGAATATTTTTCTCAAGTGTTACTGATAAAAAATCAAAGATAATTTTTAGATGAGTTCGATGCTCCAGAGTATGAAAACAACGAATCTTTCAGTCACAACCAAAACGTCCGCAATAAGACGTTGTTAGTAGAGGCATTGCAAAGACAATCTGCAAGATCAAACGAGTCAACAAGAAAACAAATTGATGAAAAATCTTCACACAATGTGCCAACTACACCAGATTTTGTTAAAGAAGAAAGAGAGGGTGGTGTATTTTATGGAAATATCGACCAACCTAGATCATTTCCGTATTCTTCTAAGCGATCTCCATTTAGAAGTAATGTTCCTTCGCTTGGAGAAGATGACGCAGATGCACCAGAGTATGGGAATATAGATGAGTCGGATATAAGTACCAATACCAGTTTAACTCAAGAACGGCGACTGGCAACAAATAGAAGTAAGTAGAAGAGGTGAATGCTTTTAAGTTTTTTTATACAGTATGGTTGTTAATTTATACTAACAATTTTCACTGAAAATATCATCTTCTTTTTCTTCTTTTGCTTTTAATTAGTCATATTTCATGTTTTTCTTCAACGTTTTCTTGTATGACGTGATATTATCTGCAAAATCTCTAATAGTTATCTATAAACGATGTGAATATTTGAGTACCCTCAACACTCAATAATTAGTTTCTGGTATCCGTTTGTCTCAAATAAGGCCCAATAAGTCGCCGCCCAGAAACCGTACACTTAACTGTTAGTTTTTCTTTATGCGCTGATATTTGTTTCATCATTTAAGGCCATTTGGAAACCTAAAAATCCATTTATATGAAAATGACATGTTATTTCTAAATTGATGTGCGTTAATTCGTCCCCAGGATTAAAATTACCAACTTGGTTAATCTCCTACCTGAAGTAAATACATCAATTTGTCAACAAGAATAGCCGGTAAATAAAAATAGATTTAGGAACTCGAGTTACAAATGCCAAAGCCGAAAACGGGTGTTAAAAAAATGAATTTCGTAACAAAATTTATTTATTAGGAACGTCCAATTTCCAAGTATATGTAGAGTATAAGCTTGCGCTGGAATAAGTCTCATGGGATCTTTACTATCTGTATGTCCCGATACTAATTCGAAAGGTACGTATATATCCAGTTGCTGAGTGTATAGTACTATTATAGACATTAATCTGCATCTTTTATCTTTTTCTTTTAGTAATCTTAAGTGCTCAGTTAGGGTATAATGGAATCTTTCTACCAGGAAATTGGATGATATGGAGTAGTAACATTTATTTTTATTTGAAGCGTTTTTAGTAATTCATCTACGTCATTTTTGAATTCTCCGCCACTGTTTATAACAATTTGCTTCGGCATTTCAAAAAATAAAAAGAAATGTACTAATTGTTGGCATGCTGATATCGCTGTATCAAAATATGGCAACGGTTAGTCATATTTGAAAAATTTGTCTATAGTTGTTAAAAATGTATTGCTAACTTTATAAGTGTCTATAGGTACTATCTCAAAAGGCTCGGAGGGTGTGTGGGTTAATATTAAAGGTTCTTTATGTGGATTTTAATATATTCTGATCTCTGGCATATTTCACATTCGTTTATATATCTTTCTATATCCTTTTTATTGATTTCCAGTAATAATTTATTTTTAAAGGTCTAAGAGTCTCTGAAATTCCTCGATGATTCGTTTTGCCGTCGTGCTTATTTTTTATTAGTGATTTCTTTCATCTGGTTACATTGTTAACTACATTGTTACATTCTGAAATATTAGTCGTAATTCTTGAGATAAGAAATAAATGTTTAAAGTATTTTTGCACGCATTTACTTTTAAGAACTGGGTCACACTTTCTTCGTCAGCTGAAATAGTAGCTGTTATTATTTATGTCCTTCAAAATTCTCGCATTCTCGTTTTATATAATTTGCAAAAAGCACTCTTTTAACGATAAGTTGATAGGCTTTATTGTTTATTATTTCATCTAACAATGAGAACCTATTTTCATTTGATTCAGCACTATGGGCTGTGTCGGTGTTATCCATCTCAACGTTTTCATTGCTCGTATTTCCTGTTGATATTATTTTATTTACTTGTGGGTTTTCTGTAACCTTATTGATATTGAGAATTTGTAAAGTTTCATTTATTACATTTTCGTCAACTATGTCTGGGTTAAATTCAGCTAAAAATTAGTCGATATTACCGGGATTATTTATATTTGATTCTGTTTCAATTGCATTATTTATTCGACTTGAACAATCGACAATATTCATTTTACCGGGTTTATATTTTATAGTATAGTTAAATTCTTCCAATTTTAATCTACATCGTAATTATTGTATAGTTGGGTTCCTTTAAATTAAATAACCATATTAGGGTTTATGGTCGCATAAAATTTCAAAAGATCTGCTGTATACTAAGATCGAAATGTTTTACATCCCATACAATTGCTAAAAGTTCTTTTTATATCGTAGAATACGTTTGCTCTGTTTGAATTGGACCTAAGCCTATATTTGAAGTGTCTGTAGTAAATCTGGATATTTTAAAATAGTGACATTAATTAAAAGTTCTTTAAGATGATTAAAAGATTTTTTAAATTCTGGAATGTGTATAACTTTTGCATGATTCTTTAGACACATAGTTAGAGATTCCGCTATTTTAGCTAAATTTTGAATGAATTTTCTATAATAGCCTAATTATCCTAAAAATGACTTTATTTCTTTTTGTGTAATAGAAATAGGAAATTTTTTGACTGCATTTATTTTATTTGGATTTGTCGTACTTCGTTTTTGTTATAACGTGACCTAAATATGCCACTTCTGTTCGTAAACATTCTCATTCATCTAGCTGTATTTTTGAATTAGATTTTCTTAGTCTTTCAAAAATTGCTTTCAGTCTTTTAACATGTTCTTGCAATGGTGAGGAAAAAACAATTAGATCATCTAAATATATATAGCAGGTTTCGTTATGTATCCCTCTTAACACATTATTCATAACTTTTTGAAAAGTAGCTGGTACATTTTTCAATCCAAACGGCATACGTAAAAATTCATAATACCCGGTCTTTGTGGAAAATGCTGTTTTCGGTACTATCGTTTAGCAATGGTTTCCATTTCTATATGATAGAAATGGACCATTTGCTAAATGTAGGTAGTAGTAAAAACGTTAACAATCTAGAATATTATTTATTTATGGCAAGGGCAATTTATTTTCTATTGTATTTTCATTTAGTTTGCGGTAATCTATAACTATCCTATAGTTCTTTTGGTTACTTGCGTCCATTTTCTTCTCTATTACCTAGATGGGTGAATTAAAAGGCGAGTTTGAAACTTTTATTATTCCATTTTTAAACATATCATTGATTTGTCTACTAATTTCTTTTTTATAACCTTCCAGATATCTATAATTCCTTGTGTAAACCGGAGTAATATTAACTAAATCTATTTTATGCTTTATTTAATTCGTAAAACTTAGAGGTAATCCGTCTATATAAAAATATCTTTATATTAATAACTTAATATATAAAATATAAAATATTCTTCTTTGTTACAATGATGAAGTCTAATTTTCTTGACATTTTCTTTTTGTAGAATTCTTCTTCTTCTTGTTTGTTCTACTCTGTGAGTTTTTTGTTACAATAGACGACTCATTTTTGTATATTTGATTTATTACAAGACAAACTAATACTAATACATAATTATCTCTAAAGAGCCATAAGATCAGTCTGTTGACTGTCAATGTCTGTTGTAGATTTACAACTTAACACAACATAACACTTCTATGCCTATCTCCTCAATATGATATGACTAAATATTATTTAAATTTTCTTCCTGAATATACCCTTGAGTACAAGGTTCACGTTTAAATTTTGATTTCCGCTGGAGTTTCTCCTGCGTTACTTATTATAGTAAAAGCGTTGTAATCAGTTATCTAAATTATATTATGAATGGTAATTTCTGCATTTCCGGATTTTTTGTATTAATTTAGTATTTGCCTTTGTTACCAGATCTTCTGTTATCTGGGACTTTAACTGTTTGAGCAGTTTTCTGGTGTGGTATTATTAATTTTACTAGATTTACATTTTTTTCCTTGGATCTTGTGGATGTGAAAATATAGGAAGAGAAACGGTTGGGGTGGCGGGTCTTTAGTTTTGAATCTTTAAAATCAAATAATAGCTATTGATTTGTGATAAAAATCATCCTTGTTTTTTGTAAACAGGGTAACTTAATATAGAGCTTTTTTTCCTCCAATTCTTCTGGGCATTTGTCCAACCTCCATAATTCTATTAATTAAACCTGTTATGTCAACTGTTTCTGTCTCTTCATAATGTCCTCCACACTTCCCTCCAGAAGTCGAACACCTAGTCCGGATGTGTTTTTTTTATTTTTTTTTTAAAGTTCTTCGATCCACGTCACTCGTTTGTTATTTTGGTGACTATTGCAGACCAAATACTCTCGGTAGAGCATCATCCTAATAAATGTTTAGCAGAAAATATTTTCCAGGCATTGTAGCATACAATAAACTCCATTCGAAAATTCCCGTTTAAAAAAGTATCATGTAACGTATAAATAACAAAAGTTAAAAACATTTTCAAATCAACATTTTTTATATAAAATTGTTAGTTTATATTTTTGCAACCGAAAATAGTGTACCGAAGAATATTGATGAATGTAAAGTATTTAGTACTAATAATATAATTTACTATGCACAATTTACAATTAACTATGCACATTCTTAAATCAATAGCGTGGATATATGTGAGAAAAATCTAACATTAGGATTCGAAATATGATTGTTCTTTTCTTTAATTTACACGCCTTTCTTAACTCCAGCTTACGTGTAATTAGATGTAATTAGAAATCAAATTTATTATAATTTTTTATCACTACAGCTGTTTCGGCAGAATGCATTTCTCAAGTGATATATTTTTGGTAGATGCGTTTACACTTAGGTTAATAAATAATCTAAAGATTTACACTTTAGATTCCTTTAACTTAATATGTTAAGAAGGAGAAAACTGTTTGTCTCAAGTTAGTCATTCAGAAATTATGTCTGTATTTTGTTATACAGTGGTGTATACAAACTTAAATGTACGATTGTCATAAAACTTACATCGGTCAAACTGGTCAAACTTTTAAAAACTTTATAGCAGAACACAAAAGGGCTTTTGGCCAAAAATAATACATTCTACGTACGCACTTCACATTCTAGACCATAATCATTTTTTAATGAAGATGAGGTCAGCCATGGAGTTGGGGTATCCACATTCTAACACAAAAAGAAAAAAAAGTATAGATAGACTGCACTCTATCCTTCATGCTGTGACATGTTGGACGATTAATACAGTTTGTAGTCAACACCCCCAAAGTATGAGCGGGAACACAAAGTGTATTAATACTCATGCGCTTATGAAACGCACGTGGCGCATCATAAGAGTCTTCACATTTTACTCTTTTTTCAACTTGTCTTTATGAAATATGTTTAATCTTTTCTATCGCCTCTCTTGGCTAACTCTTGTTTTCTTCGACCCAGTATGGCTATTAGTTTCCGAAAGTAGAGAGTCACTATATGTTTTTCTACTACATACTCATTTACCGAGTGACTGCGGTATAACAATCCCCCACTAAATGACCAGTGGCTTCAAGCGAATAAGTAAGTAAGTGGAAGGGCACTTTTTGTCCTGGGTTAAGAAATTTACCCCTAAGGCTGTAGAAGGCAACGGGAAACCATTACATTAAAGATCGTCAGATTGGCAAAATAACTATATTAGAGATTAAATTTTGGACATGGAATGTGAGGAGCTTGTTCGAACAAGGAAAGACTCACAACACGATTCAGGAAATAAGAAGACTGAACCTAGATATATTAGGCATAAGCATGTGCTGGTCTGGTTCCGGTAAAACATTGGTCATGGATAAAATGATATATTACTCCGGAAATGACAACCGAAATCATCTATAGGGAGTTGGGATATTATTTCCAGGAGAATCCAAAAAGCATTGTAAATATTGTTCCCTTTCGGATACAATGCTGTATATTACAAATACAGGATAAGCCAGTGAATATTAATACAGTGCAATTGTATACTCCACTGCAGATAAATCAGAAGCTGAAATAGAACATTTTTATGAACAATTCAAACAACTTTACATTACATCATGAAGGAAGAGATTAACAATATAATGACGATTTTAAATGCAAAGATAAGGAAAAGCCGAGTGGACAATATAATAGGTGATTATGGTTTAGTGAACAAGAAATGCTAGAGGCGACAGATTGGCTAAATTTTGCCAAGAAGAAAACCTGGCGATTATGAACATATGGTTTCGATTATCACAACGTAGACTATATATCTGGAGATCACCAGAGGAAAATAAACAAAATTGCATTAGAAATCAAATCGACTTTATACTAACCAATCTAAGATTTAGAAATTCCATTAGAAGCGTTCAGATTTACCCTGGAGAAGATGCCCCATTAACCTTAGCCTCCTTCTCTCAAAAATGAAACTGAGGGTAAAAAAGATAATACCTAAAATCCAAAAGTTCTAATGTGAATACCCAGTTGCTCAAGATAAACGAAATATCGTGCTGAGGCTTCAACTTGTATAAATCAAGAAATAAAAAGATTAACATTAGAAACAAAAAACACTGAGAATGTGAACTTATAGCATCGAGCATAAGACAAAAGAGTGAATCTAATCCTGATGAAAGGAGAGCAAAATTTTCTGACACTTATCATAGTAGCTATATAATATTTTTCAGAATGTCTCTTAAACGAGAAAGTTTTAATTAATTAAATTAATGATAAGAGCTAAAATGCACACAATAGTTAAAAAACTTCAATATAAATAAGATTTCATGTGACATTTGGGACAAACATAACATAACCCAACTAAATTTTGATGTCAACGAGGAGAGAGACTTCTCTTTCCGTATTTATGTGAGCCTCTAAAGATCGCACTTCCTGCCTAACAATATGTTTGCCCCCATCTACCTTTAACATTCCCTCTTTTGTCTTTTTGCTCGATGATATGAAGCAAAATCAAAGATTCTATTATAAAGACACATAACGAAACTCTACAATAGAAAGAAGAGCCGAAAACCTTGGATAACACAAGAAATAATGAAAATCACGGAACAAAGAAGAAAATATAAAAAAAACACAAATAAATACAGAAAAAACGTAATGATAGAATAAAATAGGATAAGGGTGGATGATGGAAACATTAAAGTGGATCTACATAAAAAGCCAGGAGAATTATCTGGAAAATTACGAACAAATAATCCAAAACCGATTAACAAAAAACAATAACCTATTAATAATTCAATTGGAAAAAGAACAAGTATGAACTAAATATATTAAAGATATTTTTATGGACACAAGAACGGAACCAACACAAATTGATAGCGAGGAAGCTTCAAAAATATTAAAATCCTGAAGTCCAACATGCTATAAACAACTTAAAATCTGGCAGAACCCCGACCCAGATAAATTTCATCATCATTATCATCATCCAGCCTTCATTTATCGCGTCCACTGCTGGACTATAGGCCTCCTTAAACTCCTCCGTTCTTTGCGATTTTGTGCTCTTTGTTACCAATTTTTGGTGACACGCATGATGTCGTCAGAAAAACGTGTAGGTGGTATTTCTTTACTACGTTTGTCTGCTATTGGCCTCTAATTTGTGATTTTACTTGTCCATCGTAAGTCATGCATTCTCGCTACATGACCTGCCCAATTCCATTTTAGTTCCGCTATACGTTCCACATCACCAATACTCGACCCTTCTTTCGCAGATCTTCGCTTCTTATTCGTCACATTTATAGACTATTAGAAAGCTTTCGACAAAGTTAAAATATAACGTTTCCCATGGAATGTCTAAAGCAAAAGGGACTCGACAAAAATAATATTACCATAGTGAGAAATCTCTATTGGAACCAACAGGCTGTTGTAACATTAGATGGAAATAGCAGAGATGCGCAATAGATAAGTAGAGGTGTGAGACAAGGCTTCGTACTTTCACCATTATTATTTAATATATACTTCGAAGAGTTATTTACGTAAGCACTTGAAAACTGTACAGAAGGGATCAAGATAACTGTGAAAATATAAATAACATTCGTTATGCAGACGATACAGTCATTATCGCTGAAAGTAAGGAAGACCTGCAGACACGACTAAATACAGTTTGTGATACTGGTGAACAATTTGGTTTAATAATAAATTTAAAGAACACAAAAACCATAGTTATCAATAAGAGGGATAAAGGCATAACAAGGATCCAGATAAAAATAAAAATATTGAACGAGTGGACAAAATAAAGTACTTAGTAGTCTTTATTGAAGATCTAAATTTAAAATCACAAATTCGATCAAGAATCGAGCAATCAAGAGCAGCCTTTTTGACGATGAGGAAAGTTCTGAGTAACCAAAGACAGCAGCGTATTTGAATCACATACTTGGATATGAGAAGTACAGCTGATTATGAAGGATAAAATAGAATGATAAAGGAGTCCTGGCAGACGATAAATATCCTGACTGATAAATATTCGCGACTGGACCGGGTTAAATACACAGACGCTTTTAAGAAAAGCAGCAGATAGAGACGAATGTGCAATGGTTATAGCCAACCTTCATTAGTGGAGTAGGCACTAGAAGAAGAATGATGAATTTCAAATTCTTCACATTTATATGTTTATTAGAATCTATATGGAAATTAAAAAATTAAAAAATGGAGACATAATATGAATGACCAACTTGAGACAAACAGTTCTCTTCTTCCATAGCCCCCGTAACACGTTCAGAATAGCTCCCTTTACAGTAACAACGGCCATGCCCCTCCTCAACTTATTCAGTTAAGCACTATAAAGTGTGAAAGCATACTAAAAATAGATCACTTGAGAAAGGCGCTTTGTCGAAACAGCTGTAATGATAAAACATTATAATAAATTTTGTGGAAGTTTTAAAACAAAAGTTTTCAGTGTTTTATTGTTAGATAAAATGAATTTTTATCAAGTAACGATCGAATCCTTTACTTATCTATAGTAAAAGTTTTTTTTAATTATAATAACCAAAGAACTCTAATTTGAATATTTTGTATTTCAGCCAATTTTAACTCGCCACCCATCCAAAAACCACTGAACCAAACTCAAACCCAATCAGCGGTGAGAACTTCTGTGCCGAGTATACTAGCTTTAAAATTAAACGAAGCTCTAAAAGCTCGAGAAAAAAAAATTCAAGAAAAGATTAACAAAAATGCGCCTAATAAAAATAATTTTGCAAAAATTGCTCCTCCGAATGAGAGCGATAGCGAAGATACTAAATCTGAAAGAATTATTGGGTTAAGAAAACGTATACCTGAGGATTCGTTCGCCAACCAAGCTTTTTATGGAAATGTAAACGATTCCATTAGACAAGAATTACACGAACATCGTCCAGAATTAGAAGAGGAACGAAAGTCTAATGCTGACTTAATTTGTAAGTAAATTTAAGGAGTTAATTTATTTAAATAGATTATATATACATTTGTCAAATAGGTACTATGGTGTCATAATGAATAATAGTAAAACGTGAGTAAATGTAAATATCCATCATCATCATCTTTAGCTCGATAATCCTCTGTGGCCTCCTGGCCTGCTCCAAGATTAGTCGCCGTCGGCCTCAACTCCATCTAATTGGCGGTCGGCCTCTGCTTCTTCTTCCTATGGGTGTTCATCTCGTTAGATTTTTAGTAATCCTGTTGTCAGGTATTGGTATTCTTTGTCTGACCGATTTAAGTCACTGTATTTTAATGAAAGTTGCACATGGTTCATTAAATAGTTGGTATAATTCGATATTAAATATTTTACGCCACTACGTTGATCGGTTTTATAGCTCCAAATATTCTGCGGTGTATCTTACGCTCGAATATTTCCGGAAGTCTTTCATCCTTCTGCGTTAGAATCTATGTTTCCGCCCTATATGTGAGGACCGACCTCAGCAGTATTTTGTATATAATAATTTTAGTTTTTCTTTGGATATTTCTTTAGTGGAATTGTTTTTGGAGTTTAAAATATGGCCGATTTGTAAGGTTTATTTGCCTTTTTAATTTCTTCGATTTGTTTTATTGGTAGTAGTCACTAGCAAACCAAGGTATGTGAAGCTGTCAACACGTTGAAATATATGATTTCCAAACGCTGTTTCCCGTTTCTCATTTACTATAGGATCCTTAATAACCAAGATGTATTTGGTTTTGTCTTCGTTGATGACTAGACCGACCTATTTCGCCGCCGTTTCCAATTCTAGGAAATATTGGACATCTCGCTTGCTACGCCTATTATGTCAATGTCCTCAGCGTATGCTAAGATTTGTACCGATTCTATTGTAAATAGTACCGCCGTCTTTAATTTGTGTGTCTCGGACTGCCTTTTGCAAACCAATGTTATATAGGAGACAAGCCAGGGCATTCCCTTCTCTGAGTCCATTCGTCATCTTAAATTATCGAGAATTTGCTCCCTGTATCCTAACGCTGGCTTTTAAGTTAGACATTGTCATTCTCGTTAATCGGATAAATTTTTCTTGTGTACCAAACTCACCCATTTATTGGTATAGTGCTGTTTTCTTGACACTGTCGTATGCGGCCTTGAAGTCGACGAATAGGTGATGGGTTTCAATGTTAAATTCTAATGTTTTTTCGAGGATCTGTCTTATTGAATGAATCTGGTCAATTGTTGATTTTTCTGGGGTAAATCCGGCCTGATATTTTCCAACTATGCCAACTGTGTAAACTTGTAGTGACCTTACCTTACCGTATGTGACAAATGCAGCCTTATTGAAATGCTTGGTCATAGAGAAATTATTTTTTAATTTCTCTATGTGCTTGGTCAGTGTTCCGCAACAGTGGCGCACCCAGGGGTGCCGGTGGGGTTTGGTGGTTAACCCCCCCCCAGAGGTAGATTCTAGGTGCGCTACTGTTCCGCAAGCAAAGTTTCCAACACCTTCCAAAACTGCAAAAAATTAGGTGACTGTCAAGGACATTAATACCCATATGAACTGTCTCACACCACTGTTGCCAAAATATGCTTTCAAATTTAATTACTGAGATTTTTTTGACAACCCCTGCATTTTGTATTAGTTTACCCCATTGTATCACTTTCACCCGGTTTTACGGTACATCTCTTCCGATATTTCAATATATACATATGTCCAAAAGTTTGGAATACGTACAAATAATACATCTACGCCTTTGTTGGTTTTAAATTGTTGTTTTATATTCATTCTAGAGCGTTTTTAAATGAAAATCATAAAAAATTTAAATCGTTTTTGTATGATTTTGGTCACATTTAACTGATTAGCGTATTTACAAATTATTTCAGTCTTTGTTTAAATTTAAATTGAGCCATTTAAAAATGCCTAGAAACGTAATATCTCATTTTGACATATCTATAGTACCGTAAAACGAGGTGGCTTTAGGACAGCCAGGTGAATTTGTGACAGCATGTAGTACCCCCACTAAATCCAATACAAAGTCCATACTTACCGACTGAACGCGCCGCAGTTGTTTTCAATGGCCTTGTAAGGATTGTGTGTGTTGATTATTGGCCATATTAAAGCTTTTGAAACAAGTAACTGCATCGTGTGTGTAATTAAAATAAAAGTAAGTATTTTAGCATTTTTACTTTATTGGTATACTTTCATTTGTGGAGCTCTAACAGTTTCATGTAGCCAGAATTTAAGATATGTACAGAATGCGTTATAGTTTAGGTTATGTTGTCGTTCATAAATGACCTCAAAATTACCTCTGGTAAGCCAGTGGCGTCACCTTAAATACAATTTCGACAAAACATGAGATGACTTTGTGACACAATTTATTAACAGATTGACAAAAATGAGGTGAGATTGTGACACTGTTTTTTACGTTTTATTATTACTTTTTAGGAAAGTAGTCATGCCCCGAAAATACCAGAGGCTACCGGGAACTCGTCAATACAAAAATTATTCTGACGCCACGTTGCAAGAAGCTCTTCGCAGTATAAGAGCAAAAACACTTAGCATACGGGATGCTGCGGAAAGGTATGAATATGTCTTAACAAAAATGTTTTCCTAAAAATTACCTGTTAAACTTTTTAGATATGGAATTCACCGCAATACGCTCTTTCTCAAACTCCATAACCGACATAGCCGTCCTTCTGGTGGACAAACAGCTCTAGAGAGGGAAGAAGAAGAGTCAATTATTGCACACGTAATTGCTGTATCAACTTTTGGTTTCCCTGTGACAGCCCATGATCTGCGATGTATTGTAAAGACATACCTAGATAAGAGGGGCAAGAATGTAAAATGTTTCAAAGATAATTTTCCAGGAAAAGAATGGGTAACATCATTTCTGTCTAGACATAACGATATATTGGTTAATCGCGTTGCTAGAAACATAAGCCTTTCAAGAGCTTCAGTAGACCGTGAAACTATAAATAGTTTTTTCGATAATCTTGAAAGAGAGTTAGAGAATGTCCCTCCATCAAATCTCTGGAACTATGACGAAACGAATCTTGCTGACGATCCTGGTGCATCTAAAGTTATTATACGACGAGGGACAAAGTATCCTGAGCAAATACGCAACGCAACAAAGGCGTGCACTTCATTAATGGTAGCTGGAAATGCAGCTGGAAAAGTTGCACCAGTTTATGTCGTATACAAGTCTGAAAAACTGTGGCAAACTTGGACGGAGAATGGACCTGAAAATGCCAGGTACAACAGAAGCAGATCCGGCTGGTTTGATTACCAATGCTTCGAAGATTGGTTTGTCAACCTGATGCTGCCAATACTTAAAAGACAAGAAGGCAAAAAAGTACTGCTAGGTGACAATTTGAGTTCACATTTAAATATTGAAGTGATACGACAGTGTGAAAACAACAATATATCCTTTATAGCATTGCCTCCAAATACAACACACCTTTTGCAACCATTAGACGTTGCTTTCTTTCGGCCAATGAAAGGTAGGTGGAGAGCAATTCTACATGAATGGAAAGATACTGTGATTGGTAGCAGATGTGGAACAATACCAAAAGACCAATTTCCAAATTTGTTACAGAAATTGATGGTCGCCATGAATGACAGGGGAACTGAGATCCTTCCAGCTGGTTTTAGAAAATGTGGCATTCATCCGCTAAACCGTACAGAAGTGTTGAGTCGTATGCCAGAACAAATTATGAATCAACAAAGTGAGAATATAAAAAAGTCATTAGGTGACAGTTTTTTGGAACAACTCCAACGGAAAAGGGAGTCCACAACTGCACTACGTCAAGTCCAAAGACGTAAGAAAGTAAATGTACCTCCTGGACAGAGTATAAGTGCTGCTGATCTTGCCGCTAAACCGTTAAGTTCCAATTCATCACAACCAGACAAAGTAAATCGAAAGCGCAAAATAAAACCTGCTTCTGAACAAAATACTATAATCGACGACCTCCAATCAATGCCATCAACCTCAAAAGGATATCAAGGGAAGAGCTCTACAAAGAAGAAGCTCCAGCGGCATAAGACTTACTCTGAAACGAGCGAAGACTCAGATGCCCTTTCTTACAGGGAAAGTGATAATTCGCCTATTTGTGAGTTCGATAATAATTTATCCGAATCCAATTACGAAATGTTAGAACAAACCTCTTCCATTATGAAAAAAAAAGATGCCAACAAAATGTCGAAGAAAGTTGTCAACTCTGTGGGAGAAAAAGATGCCGCCGCTGTGGAAGAAGAATATGCCACGATTGTGGAAGAAGAAGAAGACACCACTGAGGGAGAGAAAGTTGTCGCCGCTGTGGAAGAAGAAGATACCACGAGTGTGGAAGAAGAAAATGCGATCACTGTGGGAGAGAAAGATGCCACCGTTGTGGCAAAGGAAGAAGTAGATAAGCCAAATATAGGGGAATACGTCATTATCCAGTACGAGGGGTCTCAGTTTCCAGGAGTGGTCACTGGAGTGGAAAAGCAAGGTGTGAATGTCAGTGCCATGGAGAAATGTGGAAGATTTTGGAAGTGGCCAGACCGGGAAGACCAGCTTATGTACGAATTTGCTGATGTAATACAAGCCAAAATAAATGCACCCGTCCAAATTTCTCGAAGAGCAATTTTTCAAGTGCCTGAGATGGACATTTATGTGAATAATTACAACTACTGATTCAAAATAATTTATCTAACTTCTTTTATGTATCATTTGTGGATAATAACGTTTGTTTTTATTATTAATAAAGCTTTCTGGTTCAATTGTTGGGGTGATTTTATGACAGACCAATTACATATGCTCACATGTGTATGGGCGGCTTTGTGACAGATCTAATATTCAGATCATAATTACAGGCGATTTCTGTTACAATTCCGACCCGTTAAAACGACGACTTTAGACTTGTATGCAGAATTTACGTTGTCACAAAGTCGCCCCAATGAGAGGGGCGAAATTGTGACAAATATTTTTGTAAATTGCTGTATTTTTTGTAAATTTTTCCCAGTAATATACATCTAATTTAGAAGTTAAAAGTTATAAGTTTCTTCAGGAAATTTTGGAATATAATCATTCCATCAAAAACATCTTAAAATTGACAAAAACTGCTGAATCTGTCACAAAGTGACCTCGTTTTACGGTAATTGCTTTGTTACAACAGAGCTTTAGACAAAGTTATATCGCGAATATTGTTAAATACTCAGAGTACTGTATCGAAAATTAAAAAAAAAATTCAAGATAAAAATGACGTCAAGGATCATCTCAGAAGTGGTAGAGTCGATGTACAACAACAGCACAAGACCGGAAAATGTCATTGATAGCTTGTAGAAATCGTTTGGAATCTACAACTGGTATATCCAGAGAAATTTCTAGGCTTCAAGGACTGAATATTGCACGGCAAACAATAACACGCAGATTAAATGCTGTAAATTTGTATCGTAGAAGACCGCTACGTGTTCCTAAACTAACCTACTAACACAAAATAGTAAGGTTGCAATGGGCTAGAGAAATGGTGCATCATGGTCCCATCTGGAATAACGCGATGTTCTCTGATGAGTCAAAAATTGGCTTGGTATCAGATTTGCGAAGAACACTGGTTTGGAGGGCCCAGGACGACAAGCCCGACTAGAAACAGCCCAACCGCGTGTCCCATTTGAAGGTGACAGTATTATGGTTTGAGGTGGTATTATAAGTGGTACACGGACGCCACTGCTAGTTCTGGAGAGAAGAGTCACTGGTGTTGTGTACATCGAGGAAGTTTTAAATCCTGTCGTACGTCTATTCCGAGGGGCAGTAGGTCATGAATTTGTGTTTATATATGACAACGCACCTCTTCATCGAACAGCAGCAGTACAAAATTTTCTGGAAGAAGAAGGAATATCTACATTATAGTGGCCCTCGAATTCCCCCGACATGAACGCTATTGAACATGCTTGGAACATTCTCAAAACACGCATCAAGAAGCGAAACAATCCCCCTATTACACTTCGAGAACTAAAAGATGCTGCTCGTGAAGAATGGGAGAGAATTCCGCAAGCCCAGCTCGTCCAGTTAATCGGCAGCATGCCAAATCGCCTACAGACATACATACAGGCCAATGGAGGAAATACTAATTATTAGTTTTATTAAAAATTTATTTTTTTCTATACTAATTTATTTTTAAATGTAAGTTGTACATTGTAAGTTTTTCATTTCAAGAGAATAAATAATTTTTTGCATATCGTTTATCTGGTTTTGAGATTTATTTAGTATTGTTGAGAATTGAAACAAAATGATGTTTAACTATTCAGAAGAGTTTATATATATAAAAATCAATAAAAAGATGAAATATTCCAATATTCCAAACTTTTGGACATATGTGTATTTAGATATAATAGATATCGAAGAACCTAATGTAATTTAATTTTTAGTCAACATCAACCACGAGCCATTCTACAGAAACACAGATAGAAAAGGAGCAAAACAGCTCTTAAGGAATTTCACCGACGGTGCTTTTTTGTTTCGTCCAAGCGAAAAGTATTTCTTGGTTCTCACTATCAAATATAACAAAAAGTTTTATAATCTAGGGATAGAAAGAACAGTAAATAATAAAATTCGCTTAAATGCCGACATGAGTAGTATTTCTCCTGAATTTGAAACTTTAAAAGCGTTCGTTGAGTACTTTACCAAAGAAGCAGTCACGTTTTCAGACCAGGGTACGATTCTAGAAATATATTTGAATCCAGTTCTACCAGCTGATATTTTTTAACATAGGATATTTTATACGCTATATTTATACAATTGTCAATATTTTTTTTTATTAAAGTAGAAAATACTAATGTATACCTTGTATTTTTTGTTTCCATTGTTCCATCAATGTTCGTAATTAATCACTTCAATATGTTACCAACGAAATAGTTATAAATAATTACAGAAAAGAGATCCGATATTAAGATTAATTGGTAAATGACAAAACAGTTAATATCAAACCATAATTACTTACTATATTAATACTACTATAACATCCAATAGTATAATGAAAAGAAATTATAAAAAATCGGTGTCTTTTAAAACAAATTTCTCAACTACAGTTTAATTATCAAAATCCACGAGGAAAAAATTCCTGTAGCTGGCTGTATACCACGTATCACAAAAAAGAATTTATATCTTTGTATGTGGGTATATTTAAAAAACCCTTAAAAGGGCTACATTGAATAATACAAAAAAACGTTTTCGGAATAACAATTCCATCATCAGGTTTAAAAAGTACAAGGTTCACATGCCTGTGCCACCAAAATATGAGGGTAAAACCCTTTAAAATTTGTGTTGTTACAAAAGATTTTACATAATGTTATTAAAAATATGTGATATTTAAATTAAATTTGACTTCAGGTAACATATACCCATGGTTTGAGTTCCAGTGTCCGGAGAGTAAACCTCTTCAAACGGACTACAGCTGGTAACTCCAGGAGTTACTAGTTTATATATAATAATAATAAAAGTTTATTTATAATAATTTATCTTACAATTTATTATTACGATCGTTACATTTAACTACCCGTTCGCGATTTTCTTCTGACTAACTGACTTCCCCAACGTAAGCCTCCGTTATTATATATCCAAATACAGCTATTCGAGAGTTCAGGCGAATCCCTCTGATTATACCAGAAAGTAAATTGACTGGGTCATCATTCGACCGGTTTTATTGGAAACTTCGAACGACCGTTTCAGCGAATCTAAAACATATTAGTAAATAAACAACATGTTTACAGGTTTTTTTTTAATATGATTAATTTTTACGTAACACTTGTAAGGAGTTTGTATAGGTGACTAAGAAGATCATAGGTCTGTAATTTTCTAATTAATGGGGATCTCCTTTTTTGTACAATAGAATTACCTCAGCCTTGCGCCATTTTTCGAGTATATTACTGTCCAAAAGGCACATGTTAAAAAGGATTTTTATTTTCTTAAGTAGGCAAGTCCTCCGATTTTGATTGCATCAGTAACTACACAATCTTCGCCTGAGGATTTGTTATTCTTAGCTTTTCTTGGGGCTAGTTTTATTTCGTCCATTGTGATTTCCGGTAGTAGTTCTTATCCTTGGTTGACAATGCCCTTTTTCCTTATTAATATTTCTGGTACTTGATCTTTTCTGCTATTTGCTCTGTGTTGGCTTGTGTACAGCAATTTGTAGAAGTCTTTAACTATTTTAAGGGTTTCCTCTCTGTTGGTTGTAAGATGACCATTTCTATCTTTAATCTTTATTATCTGCCTTGTCCCCATTCTTACTCTTTTTCTCAATACTTTCATACTTCTATTGTTCTCAATGGTATGTTCGATTTGTACTTGGTTGTATTTTCCCGTGCCTTGTCTAACAGCTTTGGATATTTCTTTATTTAATTTTCGTAGTTCGTCGGCTTTATTTTCCGTCTCGCTTCTCATTTTTCTTCTTTTCTGCATTAGATGCCTAGTATTTTGGCTAATCTTTTCTTCTTTTTTGAGTTCTAGAACAGAATTTGTTTTGACTTTCAGTAAAGCATTTGTAAATTTATTATTTAAGTCGTTTATATTATTTCCTGTTTCAGGACTACTAACTATGTCGGAAATACATTGCTGATAACTATCTACATCTGATGGTTTCATCCATAGTTTTGATTTGTTTTTCTTTTTAATCATCTTATACCTCTCCTTCTTAAATCTTATTTCTATTTTACCTCGTACCATTCTATGATCGCTACTGGGTAACAAATCTGTTTAGAACCGTGATGTTTTTTGTGCGTTATAATAAAATCTATTTCGTTTTGAGCTTTTTCATTAGAACTTTGCCATGTCCATCTTCTCTGTGGTTTCTTTTTGAAAAAACTGTTGATTTGGAATAGTTCATGTTACAGCATGAACGTTAGCAGTATTTCGGCACGTTCATTTCTATCATTCAAGCCAAAGTTTCCCAATGGTGTTTCTGTAGGATTGGATTTCATTCCTGTTTTGGCGTTAAAATCACCACATATAAAAGTAAAATGCCCTTGATGGTCTTTAAGAGCAGCTTCGATATCATCATAGAATAGATCCACTTATTCTTCATCATGGTCTGTTGTTGGTGCATAGACCTGTTTTTATATTATACCTTGTATTCAATTTAAGACTAAGACATATTACTCTTGTAGAAAATTTCTTTAGTGATACTATACTTTTTGGAGACGCTTGTATATAATAAAGCCGGTTCTTCCCAAGGAATTATTGTTGTCACCTACGTGGTAAAAACTATGTTCTAATTTTAGTTTAATTAAGTGTTTGCCACGTCTTCTGACTTCGCTGAGACCGACTATGTGCCACTTTATGTTTTCTAGTTAGCACTTAAGTTCAGTAAGTCTTTCATCGGATAGTAGAGAACGTGCATTAGGGGAGAAGAGGGAGACTTGATCACTCTTTAAATTTCAGTAAATAAGTAGCCTAAAAATTATAAAACCGGCAAGAAAGCGTAGCTGTTAGTATGTCTGAAGATCCCATTTAATTTAGTTTGTATTAGAATCCACAACGAAGAGCACGTGTTTATTACAAGTTTTTTGTCCCTACCGAGAAGTGTTTTCAGAATTATTTCAAGTTGATTTTCTTTAATATTCGTTAAGGTGAGTTTTTCGTATAATTTTTATTTAACACTATAATCATTCAGTTTACGTTTTGCACATTTTGCAATGAGTTCTAGTTTGTCGTCATATTTTTATAGACAAAAATATTCAAATGGCGTCTTGGGGGAGACTTGATTACATCTTATCTGGGAGATGTGATCCCGGGATCAAGTCTCCCAGAAACTCCTTATAGATGAGTGTTTTTTATTTTATAGATATGCCACGTCAATACAAAAGGAGGGAAGGAGCAAAGAAAAGAACACCAGTCGACAGCCAGAAGTTAAAAGAAGCTGTATTAGACGTTATTAATAACGGAACGTCTCTCAAGGGAACGGCAAGTCGTTATCAAATAAATGTTATGACATTAAAAAGATACGTTCGCCGACAACGATCTGAAAATGTTGAAATAACCTATTATCCTGATTACAAGAAGGCTCAAATTTTTACAAATGCAGAGGAAAATATGTTTAAAGATTATTTAGATGTTGCCAGCAAATTACACCATGGCCTTACAACCAAACAAGCAAAAGAACTAGCATACGAGTTTGCCGTAAGAAATAATAAAAAAATACCTGCTTCGTGGAATAAACATAAGCAAGCCAGTTACGACTGGTTATACGGATTTCTGAAGAGGATGAAGACCTTATCACTACGATCTCCGGAAGCAACCAGTCTTACTAGAGCAACTAGCTTCAACAGAAACAATGTATCAAAATTTTTCATAAATTTAAAGACAGTTCTTGAAAGCAATGGAATTGGACCATAAGCAATTTGGAGCATAGACGAAACTGGCCTTTCAACTGTCCATAAGCCAAAGAAGATTATTGCATGCAAAGGTGCAAAACAGGTTGGTAAAATTACGTCAGGGGAACGTGGACCAACAGTAACTCTTTGTGGTGCAATCAACGCAATTGGAAATCATATACCGCCTTTTTTGGTTTTTCCTCGAAAACTTTGGCAAGATCGCATGATTGATCATAGCCCACCAGGGACCACCGGCGTAGTTTATGAAAGTGGATGGATGACCGCTTCTAATTTCGTCAAATTTTTGGAACATTTTCAAAAACATGTAAAGGCGACTACCGACAATAAATCTTTAATCATAATGGACAATCACGATAGCCACGTTAGTCTGGAAGCCATAACGTATGCCAAAGCACACGGAATAGTTCTTCTTACCATACCACCACATACGTCGCATAAGCTCCAGGCGTTAGACACGAGTGTATTTGGCCCTCTCAAGAGTTTTTATAATACTGCCTGTGATGATTGGATGGTGGCGCACCCAGGAAGGACAATTACAATATATGAAGTCGGAGGATGCTTAGCTTACGCTTTCCCCCTAGCTTTTACTCCACGTAATATTGAGAGTGGATTCAGAGTTACGGGTATATGGCCTTTCAATTCCAATATTTTTACCGATGAAGATTTTATGTCGGCGTATGTTACTGATCGCGAAGATCCGGAAAACAAATCCACTTTATCCCAGTTTGATGTTGCACAACCAGCCATAGATAACAATAATCAACCCTCCACTTCTACTGGCACTTTCACCACCCCTGAAATTATTAGACCACATTCCTCAAGTGGATCCATTTCACATAATCAACAACTACGACGAACACTAATTGAGGACGAAAATCAGCCTTCTACTTCTACTGGTACTTTCACCACACCTCAAATAATTAGATCCCATTCTGTAAATGGAGATACTTCACAAAATGAACAGCTACAACAAACATCAAAAGAGCACAATAACCATTCTTTCCCTTCTGCCACGTTTACTAGCCCAGAAATGATTAGACCCCACCCTAAAGCCGGGCCCAGGACTTCAGCAAAGGGTAGAAAGCGAGCAACTACAAAAATTCTCACAGCAACACCAGAAAAACTTGCGCTTGAAGCTGAAGTTAAGGCTAAAGAAGAGAAAAAATTAGAAAAAGAGCAAAGGGCCAAAATAAGAGCCCTAAAAAGAATAACTAAACAAAAACTTAAGGATTTGAGGGAATCTTCAAGTTCGGGGGCAGTGACATTATACTACCATCGTCAGAGTCTGAATATGATCCTAATGATGAAATGCAAGTAGAGACAGATAGTGAATGTGAATCGGAAGCAGAAGGTGACGAGTTTGAGTTGAGTGTGCAAGATTGGGTAATTGTCAGCTTTGTCTCCGAAAGAAACTTAGTCCATCGATACGTAGGACAGATAATGGAAAAAAAG